CTCTCATTTCACTAACTATAATGCGCCAACCTCTGGTGGCTGCTGGAAAAAGTGCATGATAGTCAAGTTGGTGAAAGGCTCATTCTACAAAGAATAACTTCTTTGTACCCCAGGAATTGTAACTACTACTGACTATACAACAGACAAATATAATGTGTTTCTTAGAGTTAAAAGAGCAAAGGTAGATGTCGACATCACTGTCAATCTGATATATAAAAGCAGCTAAAGAAGAGGACTAAGCTGTACAGTAGAGCGATGCAAAGGCTTCCTTTCAGCATTAACAATATGCACTTCTTCCAGTTCACCATCAACAGCAAATATGGCAGGTTCTTATAGTTAGGAGGGCAAAGGTAGAACCCAACATCACTGTCAATTTGATATATGGAAGCAGCTAAAGAAGATAGAGTAAGTGAGAACATATCATTTTATTTTCACAAAAATACATACCAAATTTGCTGCCTAGAGATGTCATTGAATAGACAATGTTTGGCCAAGTCGCACCGGTTTTCAATACAAAAACTTCACAGTCCGACTGAATGTGAGTTATAAACAAGTAAGCAGAGCAGTAAGTAACTTTATTACCAGAGTGAACCCTAACCCTAGGTGTCCCATACAAATTTTGTATTGCAATTTCGTTCTCACAGCTTCTTGGGGCAGTTTCTCATCACACTCAGAGTCCAACTAGAACAATTCCTTCGTACCTCAGTCATCATAATTTAAGTGCTCTCACCACTCATCTGTTGACAGTGCTTTGTACAAGTTGTGTCAGTTTTCAAATACAACTTTTTCTAAATGTTTGCTTATAGTTACATTGTAGTTTAGTAAGTGGATCTATTAGAACATTTGTAGATGGAGCCAAACCCTAACCTTAAGTCACCCCATACAAATTTGTAGCCAAAGTTTATTCCCACAGTTTGGAAAAAAAGCTCTAACAGGACAAGTGCCCATCAAGGGCTCATCCTGCATAAAAACAATTCCTTCGTACCTCAGGAATTATAACTGCAGTTTGGTCTCCACTATCCGGGAGAAAGTAATGACTCCCACTGCTGATCAACACTTTCATTATGAGCCTTACGAGCTCCACTGGCACCCTGGACCAGACCATCAGCCTGTGCGAGTGCAGGGTGAACTCTACACATCTCCTGCATTTTTGAATGCTCACTGTGAACTCCAAGACTCTTCATCGGAGCCTGGATATGACCTCCTGCAAGTGGTTTTTGGATTAATGTTTTGGTCTGATGCAACTCATCTTACTTCATTTGGCAACACAAAGTTATGACCTCTCTACATGAATCAAAGTACCTTCATTGCAAGTCATCTAATCATTTGTGTCAGCAAATTTTCAGAGCATAAGTTTCAGTTTCCTTCTTGCTCATTTCCCCTGCTCACTGCTTGTATTCCAGCTGCCAGATGTATTCAAAGACTTTGCAACTGAGCAGACAGCTGGTGGCAAAGCCCTCAGTGATGCATTTATGATGCATTGTAGTCGCGAGCTTATGCATGCACAGTGGAGGATTCTCTTTGAATGAGAAGTTTCTGAAAGTGTGGAAGCATGAGACTGTGATCACTTGCTGTGATGGGATCAAACACCAATTTTATCCTCAGATTCTTACTTATTCTGCGTTCATCTCATACTGGCGGGTGTTGATTGTCATCTCCAATCTCATCCACAACCAATAGAATTCTCATTGCCAGCATTCATAATCTTGGTCACTGTCCCTGTCCTTGTTGTTCCACCACATTGAACTGTGTTCACAATCTGGGGATGCCAAAGGACATGCTCAAGTGCATAACCTTGGCCCACAAAGACGATAATAAGAGGCAAAGCTCAGTCACTGCTGTGAGAAAGTATATCTATGAGCAAAACCTTGCAGTAAACTCCGCACCCATTAAAGCCTTACTGAAAGAATCCTCCTTGGTCCCAAATACAGTATTGTCACTTGCTGAGAGTGGGCCACTGCTTCGCATGGCAAGAATGATTCCTAAGGTCCTGTTTTCTTGCCTTTTTCTTATCATTTAATTGTTCCCACATGCAATAATCATTTTTTATTACTCCTTAGTAGTTGATTACTTGTAAAAAGTGGTCCATTGCATTGCATTGCGTGTTGTATTTTTATTTGGTATCTATTTAAAGGTTTCACCATTTGTATTCACTCAAAACAGTCACCTTAGGTGAAAGTCTACTAAAATTTGATGCTATACTAATAAGTATAAAGAACTCAAATCTTTCTTATTACACAGGCAGGCCACGCTATCAAACACAAGATAACCCGTGCCACTTTAACTTGTGTTGAATACAGTAGAGCCCATGGTCGAAATCTTGTGTTGCGCCTGGGTTCAAGAGTGATAGCTTCCTGTTAGGTCTCTTAATTTTGGCTTGGGTATCTGATAACTGGCGGTAATGTGAAATATATACTATATTTCAATGCTACCAACAGTGCACAAAACGGACATGAGAAAGAGGGTGTGCAGCCCAACAGGAAGCCTGTCAGATATAAGCAAAAGACATCAACGGGCAGAACACTGCCAGCTGTCTCACCACTCAGCGACATCACCACACCGGAATTCTGTCATCGCTGCTGTCGTACCAGAATTGGGTTTCTGCCGTGGTTCACTGGGTGAGTTCGTCACAGGGCTATCACAGTCGTTCGTTTATTTGTTTTTGAAGGATAATATGTTGCACTAGAATAGGACAATTGGGTCACCTATCACTCCTATAGACCTTGTCTGTTAAGAGGGCAGTAGAGGGTTAGCTAGATTAAACTGTGTCTTCAATTGCCAGATGATTGATATTCAAATCAACCAAGCACTGAGACCAGAATCAAGTAAAATCAAGCTGAGAGTCAAACTTCAATACTGTCAAGTCAAGTCTTCTTTAGAATCAAACACTAGTAGCTCCAAGCTGATCACATTCAACTGTACTGCAAACTGAACTGGTAACTGTATAGCTCTGCAGCAGCTCTGCAGGGCACTGAACTGTGGTGACTGGGGGTAAAGCAGTGACACAGTGTGCCATTCCCACAGTGAGTCACCTAGGTGATACCTGTGACAAATGGTATGCTGAATTGGGTATAATGAAGTGTTTCATCTTTGACTCATTTGTTTCATCTTCTTTCCCAATGGCAGAATCCTCTCTATGTCTAACCCAACATGGCTAGTACTGTTTGTGAGTCACTTGAATAGGCCTGGGCTAGGCTGTGGAAGCCTAGAATCTGCCTGCTTGATACTTGAAAGTGCGTAGTTTGGGCTTGATTATGTAATGATTGCCAAAATAGGCATTCACTACCAAATCTGGCAAACCACTTGCTGCTTTGGGAAGTTTCAGTCTTCTTCGGCTTCTATACTGATTGTTCGACTTCTGGTAACCTGGTAACATATTTCATGTCCACAAGCCAAACACTATTGGCGCATGACACCGCGCCCACTTCTTCATGGCCACCCGATACTGTACATCCCGCTTGATGTGTGCGATGTCGCCAATGCACCTGCAGATCATGTTGACCTTTCTGAGCTTCGAGTGGTCGAAATGCGGAAGGGTCCAGGTGAGTGCAGAGCTTGCGAGCTCCATGAGGGATCACTGCCGTCGAAGATCAACATGCTAGTATTGATATCCACAGGTATCAGTTTATTTAACTGAGCTACACTCACGCACCTTAAATGTTGTAAAAATCAACGCCGCTGAACCCCCAAAATCCGCATGTTGACAAGGCCCTGCTGAGAAAGTGGAAGTCAGTATCGGACAGACTCTTGATCTGAGTACAGATCAAGGTACTGGTACATGCACCAGGCAACATATTTGTCACAAAGGAAACTTTGAATGAATCAGAAAGCCCAACATGATGGGCGCACAAGTCCTCAACAGACTGCAGAGGGGAACATTGAACATGGGGATGAAGGTTGAATGTTGAAGTTCATTTGCAACTGATACACGAAATCAACGAGTTTGCGTATCACGTGGCCATGAGTTCGTGCTTCGAGAGACTCGGAAGTGCAGGAGACATGAGCCTGAGGCTGACCCTGGCACAGGTTCACCCAGGGTGGAACCACGGGCCTAGCCAGATTCAAGCATACTATTTTGCGTTCAAGCTGTCCTCAGGTCCAACCTAGCACATCTGTGCACTCCACCACAACTTCACAGCAGCCAGGCTAACTGGAGTGCATCTGAACATCTGGCTGTTACAAATGTGCTTATAAGAATCAGAGTTGTAGGGCAGTTAGAAATTGTTTCAATGCCTACTAAGCATACCAAAAGGGTGACTTTATAATCTGGTTACAAGTTGCTACAATGCTTACTAAGTGCACTAAAAGTGCGGATTTGTAATGCTTCAAGGCATCTCTACAATAGTTACTAACAAAGTTAATAACCCGGAATTGTAGACCAGTTGGGAACTCGGAGTTGTAGGGTAGTTGGAAATTGTTAGAATGCCTACTAAGTATGCCAAAAGGGTGACTTTATAATCTAGTCACAATTTGCTACAATGCCTACTAAGTATGCTCAAAGTGCGGATTTGTAATGCTTAAATGCAGCCCTACAATAGTTACTAACAAAGTTAATAACCTGGAATTGTAGACTAGCAAGTCTCCAAGTAGATCAGAACTTGTAATGCTCTACTGGAGGTGTTAATGATGAAAAAACTCGGACTTGTAAGATGCTTTACAATTATTGCTGTAAGCTGGGCTAGCTATGATGTCATATTAGTATATAGGCCAAGCACTTACTGCATGGCTCTACCAATATGTATATAAGGACGTAGGGAATCTCTGAAATAATCAGAGTATTCTCCCGCTATAGCCTCGCCAATTTCGAGACTCCGATAGTAAGCAGAATCTTCATTTGCACAAATGAAGGACTATTGAACCCTTCATTCAGATAACGTAAAACTTCTGTTACCATCTATAACAGCCGACTAGTTCTGGTTTCATCTCTATTCTAACTCTATCCTATCATATCTGGGTTCTATTCAAGTACGTCCTAGACATTTTCATTTTTGATTTGCACGATGGCCGACCTCCCTCCCATGCTTGCAGCACTTGCTGCTGCTGTTCCTCAAGAAAGCTTTGTGGCCTTACAGCCGATCCTCGAAGAGCTCCACCACAGGATCTCTCAGATATCCACTGAGGCCGCTACAACACAGGCAAGCATTCTGAACGCTACGCAAATGCAGAATGTGTCCACAGCACACTTCACTGTTCAAGCCCCTCCTTCTCCTCTGCAGACTTCTGCACCAAGCATCCATCCTGCGAGTATCAAGGCCGATCTACCAATCTTCCGAGGTCAAGACTTGGATGACGTCAATTGATAATTGAGGATTATCTTACAGTGCAGCATGTTCCTGTCATCGACTGAGTTACTCAAGTATCAATTTTACTCCATGATGATGCGATGTGTAGTTATATTGCCGTTAAGAAGGAAATGCAGGACACAGGGTGAACAATGGATTGGAATAGGTTGAAGGGGTGGCTGAAAGGCAAGTATGACTCACCGCTACGAATCGAGAGCCTGTGTAACGAGCTACGCAATTTGACGTTCAAAGGAAACCTTGCGCGCTATAGCGAGAACTTCTGAATGTATGAGAGTCAAATCCCTGCACAGGAGATGACATTTGGTGACTGTCTTTCCCATTTTCTTAGTCATTTGCCTGCCGATAGTGCTAGGGATTTACGACACGAGAAGCTGAAGAACACGGAGAAGATGCGCATGAACTAGATCAACTGTCAAATCTCCACCGTGGTTCTCAAAATCATTCCTCGATGTCATCTAGCAAGAAGCCGAAACACTTCTTCCATAGGGACCTGCACTCCTCTACTTTTAGTAATGGCTCTGCGATGCCATCTACTTCACCTACTCCAGTCATGCCATCTGCACCGTCCAATTTGGGACCTGTGCCTATGGAGCTCGATGCAATGCAGCAGATGCTGAGAGGAAGCAACATGCCAAATACTCGGGTATGTTGCTTCAATTGTAACCAGGTCAGACACTTTGCATGAAATTGTCGCGTACCCAAGAAACCTCGACAGCCACAGACAACTCATGCACGCCCTTGCCAAGAGTTGCATGCATTGAGAATGCACTGCTTTTTCCAGATGCACTTCCCCTTCCCATGGAAGTTGACGAACAACTCATACCTGGAGAACTAACCTTACATAATCTCGAACAGATTGCGTGCAACCAATTGGTCCTCCCATCATATAGCATCAAAGTCGCAGATTATGAAGGCCAGGAATGGCATGATAGCGATGTGCTGCTGGATACCAGGTGCGCCCCTGCTTATATTCAGCTGAGTCTTGTTCGACGGATCCATGCCAAAGTCTTTCTAATCGACACTCGCAATATTCTAGGTGCTGGCAGCACGACTACATCCGCCTTTGCCCATTTCCGTTGTTTCAAGTACTTGTTCTATGCCTATGTACTTGATAACAATAATCTGCGGTATGGAAATTTCCTTAAGCGCCATAATGCGCAGCCTTGCTGGCAGAATAATTCTTGGAGATTTACAGCTAAGTTTTCCGACATGTCGACAATCTTGATGCAACATCAGCCAACTTCTGCCGAAATCATGGCTACTCTTCCATCACCCAATGAAGGGATTACGCACATGAAGAACAAGTCTTTTTGTTCAAAATTGAAGGACACCATAAAGAATAAATTTCCACGACTCTTCCGCAAGAAGGTAGGCTTTCCGCCTATATGGAAATGGATACACTCAGTTGCTCTCAAGACAGCTGGTGACCACCGTGATGTGAGTACAACATGCACAAGATGCCTGCACTGCCTGTCACTGATGAGCAAGGGCCAGATGATCATGATGATGGGACAGAGGAGACAGCTAGGAATTGTCCATGCTTGTAGAGTTTGCATACATGCTGACTGGGCAGCACGATCGGTACAATGAGATCATGTGTGCTGTAAGCTTCAAGAAGACTGCAGTCTTTGTAAGTACTTACCTTGAATGTCTTATTGTCAATCCATCTTCAAATCTGATCATTGAATAAATTCCACCAGTATTTCATCTGGCAGCAGTCGGTCTGTGCAACAAGCTGAGTGGCATGAGCAATGATCAGCACAATCCTCTAATGGTAGTATTAAACAGTGTCACAGGCTCCATCACCTCCATGCAGAGTTCTCATTTGTCATGGCTGAAGAAGGACTCCAAACCAGGAATGTGGACTGAGAGTGATATCAGTTTGGTATGCCAAGATTCGTAACTCCGTTTTCAGAAGAGAATCCACCTCCGACATGGGAACAAAAGTTTAGATCACAGCAGCTGCATCCTGTGATAGAAAATGATGAACTGTGTCCACCACCACCACCACCTCCAGACCCTTTGTATGCCTACCCGCAATCACCAGTATGGAAATTGAATGTCGAGAGAGACAATCGATATACCGCTGGTTGGGTCTTCACGTCAGACCTTAATACATTGCACATTCTGATGGAGGAGCATCCAAGAATACTGAAGACTGCCAGACCAAAGGTAGATCCATATATGGAGGATGGAGTCATGAAGATAGATCCCATACCGGGAATGGTTAAAATGCCTGCCAGTATTCCGTTCACTTCAGACTTTGGATGGAAATCTTCACAATACCATAACTGTAGCATGTTTACATACTATAGAGTCTTTGAGTCACTATCCCGACTTTGACGAAATTCAGAAACATGTTGATATACTTCAAAAGTATACTTGGGAAGGCTGTCCAGCTCAAAATGATGAACCTGCAGTTCCTCCGATCTATGCACTTCCAGGTTTGAAGTTAAATAACCGAACTGATCAAGAGACCAGGAAGGCACGCACGAATGCTTTACTAAACAGTTTCTGTGGATGGATCATACAGTTTGGCATCGATAGTAGAAGTAGGAAATGGCCTGGGTATATTCAAACCAGCCATTCAAGCAACAGGAGCTGCTGCTGCACTCTCCATATCTGCAATCACACAGGCGCTAAATGCTCTCTTCTCTCTGATTATACCGAAATGCATCAGTTGCGAAGAATGGACTTGCATGAAGTTCTATCATATTGACAACAACGTTATTGGGTTCGGTGGACTGGATCCTAATAATACAAGCTTGCAAATGAACATGTCTTCAGAATGTAACGGAGGAGAAATGATCATATCTCATTGGAATACAAGGGACTCTCCATGCTGATGGCAAGGATGCTCATGAATTTTGGACACTTTTCACACTGCTATTCAGGCTTCCCCCTGGTAAGTTGACTAAGTATGATAATATTTGAACAAATTCTTATATTTTTCCAATAGGTGCAGACCCAGGTGCTTTTCTGCTTGCTCAACCTGGAACATATATTTGTGAGACAGGAGAGTTGACCCTATTTGTCGCATTCAAAGGCAATGATCTACATGGCAGAAGCGCTCTCTATGCTCCATCAGAAGAGATGCAAAAGTGGGAAGCTGAAATTCTGAAGGAGATTGGAACACACTTTGGTGTGGTCAAACGTGTCGGATATGTTTCATACCCATCAACAGTAGGGGTTAAGCATACTTCTGCCCTGTCTGTTTCACCTCCGGTGGGCTTTGGAAATGAGCCTATTTCAGCAAATTCTGAGCAGAGTTCACATCTAAACTTTGTCGAGCATGGTCGAATCTTCTTGGGAACTGCTCATTCGTTCTACAATAGAATGATACGGGAGCAAGCGATGCACAACTGGAATGTTACACTCAGGCTTCGGAATGTGTTCATAGACATCAATGCCTACTTGGCTAGTCACAGTTATGAAGATGAGAACGGAGAAACACATGCTTGTCTGCCACTTGAATGGAATCCAAGAGACAACCAAGCTTATGTTGCTGAGATGCGATCTCGTGTACAGCGATTCTTCAACATCGCTAACAAGTACTACATGAATCTTACTCGGGATCTGGTATGCAGCTCACACATTCAGCTTACAATAACTGGAAGTGCAGAATCCTCTGTGTTGCCAGTTTCTTCCTCAGGAGATCGTAGACTTGCTACTCACTTAAGTCAACCCGCTTTTAAAACTATGCCATCTCGTCCAGCATTTTCCATGTTTGATCCGAAGGTGACATCTTCCAGTCATCAGGATAACACACAACTCCATGGTACAGGAACAGTGAAGCGACACAAAAGAGGACGGTCAAGCCTAGACTCTAATTTGACCACACTTCCAGAGGAGTTTAATGATGAAGAGTCTGACTCAGAGGAAGAGCTGTCAGAGATCCTGGATTTTGATGCAAAGGTTTGTTTTATACTAATATATTATTGTTCAACATGCTTATCGGAATATTTAGAATAACCAATATCATGTTCGTTGGCTGGGATATGATACTCAGCAAGATTCCTGGGTAAAGACCAGTGATATCCAGTGAGTACTCTAATATGATTATAATAAAAACAAACCTGATCATTGATATTATAGTGCAAGTGAGATGATTCAGGCCTTCTGGCAGGCGAGAGGGCAAGAGGGTCCGCCACTGCCATTATCGTCTAATGAGCGTACTCGAAGAAGACGTCACGAGAAAGATCATGAAAATACTTTATTGGGTGAAGACATCTCCATGAATAGTCTTGAGACAGCTATAGGTGAAGTTAGCTCATTTGCACACGAGTTTACTGTTCAGCGTCTCCCAGAATATGATATACAGCAGTCAAATGAACAAACATCGGAATCTCAGACTATTATCAGTCGACCTACGATGAAAAATCTTGGCAACACTTCCTTAATGACTCTGTTTAATTCAGCATCTCTACACTCTGAACTCAAACAACTTCGTTCTATGCACTCTAAACTAGAATGTCTGCCAAGTGACCTTCAGAATCCAAAGCAGTGGCTTCATGGTCTTATGATACAAACTCAGATCAATGAGGAGATCAAGTCACTACCGGAAGGACAATGGTCTGCTGAGGGTGCCATGGTCATCTTTAAACAGCTGACAGAGATGATCAAAGCATTACCCGTACTCGAAGCTGCTCAAGCATTTACAGACACACTGAATCGTGCACTCAGATGGGAGATTTGCAGAGCATATGTCATCATATTTCGCTGGTGCACAGACATTGGACCAGACTTGGTTTATAATGTGTTTGACTGGTATCAAGAACATGGAGAAGCTGTTATTTGTGCAAAGTATAGCCAGTTTGCAAATGTTGTCATACATATGCTCAAGTATGTGGAAGACTTATATCGGTGCCAGAGTGCTTCGTATATTCCAAAGCTCGAGCAAAGAGAGCAAAGACATCTGCTATTCCACCACCTGCTGTAGAGGGTCAGCAGGCATCCAATGAACCAGATCTAACACTTGCAATAATCCCTCGGAACTT